TAGTACAATTGAGTAAAACACACCAGATATTTTATAAGATTTTCTTAATAAACATGTAAAAATACTGACATTTCCAAGCCTTTTACTTCTATGCTACTTGTATTGGCTGAACACAGTAAGATTTCTGAGTAGAAGAATAATGAACACTTAACATTTTAGTCCCTATAATATTTGAAAGATTGATCAATATGTTTAAAATGTTATTCTGAGTATATTTTATTTTATTTTTTGCATTGTCAAATGTCAATGATAGTTTATATAGGTTTTCTTATACAAAAATTAAACATTCTTAATTTTAGATGTTGCTGATTTTTACAATTACAAAATTATCTTGACATAGATTTGTGTGAAATGAAGTTAACTCATTTTTCACAGAAACTCAACAATACAATATACGAAGATTGTTTTTCATTGAAGTATAGTTTTCAACTCGAATTAATCAGAAAATTTCTTGCTATCTCTTATTTCCTATTAAAATACAGTAACAGAATACATTGATTGAAAGCTTAGTCAAATAGTTAAACATGGAAATTATTTTTAGAAACTGGTTCATTCACTGACCTTTTATTATTTTCTGGCAAATAAAACCAAATGCACATTCATTCTTTGACTCAACGAACACCTAGAACATAGGGTATTATATTCCATTTGATTTTTCTTTATAATATTAATGGTGTCCTTAAATGTTTTCTGTTATTATTTTATAACATTATGTGAGAAACTAACCAAAACAAGTCTTTTAACACTTTTCCCTCCACCATTCCATAAACTTATTTAACATTTGCCCTGTTATTTTTGCAAGCTAAAAGAAATTCTTAAAATGCTCTTGCTTTAATATTGGTCAATTCAGTTCATATTTATATATTGGTCACATTTTGAATTGGCAGCAATATTTTAAATCTTATAATAATTGGATAGACCACTTTAAATGTATCATTTGCTAGGTAGTGACAATTTGTTTTATTTATCCACAAGAGGCGCGTTGACACCTGTTAATTCAAGTGCGCCGACACATTTAAGGCCTCTTTCACTCCATTAAACTGTTGCATCTGGCTGGAGCAAGAATGATGGCAAAGATCTTGACCTTGGAACACTGGTTGTATTAAAGGATTCAAGTGGATGATCGAAGTTGTGGCTGGATTTAAGTGAGGGCCAAACAATGTGGGGATAAATGCTGTTGGAGGCAGGGGCTGAAGTGTTATGTGAGATGAGTGGAAGGGAGCAGCAACTAAATGCAGCGGATGCCCTGCTAAGAAAGTTGGGTGTGCAGGGATAATGGCTGGAGTCAGAGCTG